TAATGCTTCAGAGACGACTTCATGTCCTAGCTTTATTCCTTCAAGGCTGTAGAAAATTCCTTTCAGCACCAAATTTTCAGGGCAGACAATTCATTCCTAATAATTCCTTTCAACAGACGACTTCATGTCCTTTCCTTCAAGGCTGTAGAGATTCCAAAAATAATAATGCTTCAGAGACGACTTCATGTCCCCTTCAGGCTGTAGAAGATCCTTTCAAGGCCAAATAATAATGCTTCAGAGACGATTCCCCAGCTTTATTCCTTCAGCTGTAGAAAGATTCCTTTCAACAAAAATAATAATGCTTCAGAGACGACTTCATGTCCCAGCTTTATTCCTTCAAGGCTGTAGAAGATTCCTTTCAACAACCAAATAATAATGCTTCAGAGACGACTTCATGTCCAGCTTTATTCCTTCAAGGCTGTAGAAGATTCCTTTCAGCAAATAAATAATGCTTCAGAGACGACTTCATGTCCAGCTTTATTCCTTCAAGGCTGTAGAAAGATTCCTTTCAGCAACAAATGGTAATGCTTCAGAGACGACTTCATGTCCCAGCTTTATTCCTTCAAGGCTGTAGAAGATTCCTTTCAGCAACCAAATGGTAATGCTTCAGAGACGACTTCATGTCCCAGCTTTATTCCTTCAAGGCTGTGAAGATTCCTTTCAGCAACTTCAAACGACTTCATGTCTGACTAATTTCCTTCAGGCTGTAGAAGACCTTTCAACATGTCCTTCAGCTTTCATTCCCCAGCTTTCAAGGCTGTAGAAGATTCCTTTCAGCAACCAAATGGTAATGCTTCAGAGACGACTTCAGTCCCAGCTTTATTCCTTCAAGGCTGTAGAAGATTCCTTTTCAGCAACAAATAATAATGCTTCAGAGACGACTTCATGTCCCAGCTTTATTCCTTCAAGGCTGTAGAAGATTCCTTTCAGCAAAATGGTAATGCCCAGCTTTATTTTCAGAGACGACTTCATGTCCCAGCTTTATTCCTTCAAGGCTGTAGAAGATTCCTTTCAGCAACAAATAATAATGCTTCAGAGACGACTTCATGTCCCAGCTTTATTCCTTCAAGGCTGTGAAGATTCCTTTCAGCAACCAAATAATAATGCTTCAGAGACGACTTCATGTCCCAGCTTTATTCCTTCAAGGCTGTAGAAGATTCCTTTCAGCAACCAAATGGTAATGCTTCAGAGACGACTTCATGTCCCAGCTTTATTCCTTCAAGGCTGTGAAGATTCCTTTCAGCAAGCAAATGGTAATGCTTCAGAGACGACTTCATGTCCCAGCTTTATTCCTTCAAGGCTGAAGATTCCTTCAGCAACCAAATAATAATGCTTCAGAGACGACTTCCCGTCTTTATTCCTTCAAGGCTGTAGAAGATTCCTTTCAACAACCAAATAATAATGCTTCAGAGACTTCATGTCCCAGCTTTATTCCTTCAAGGCTGTCCTTTCAGCAACAAATTAATTTCCAGAGACGACTTCATGTCCCAGCTTTATTCCTTCAGGCTGTAAGATTCCTTTCAGCAACCAAATGGTAAGACGACTTCATAGTCTAGCTTTATTCCTTCAAGAAAGATTCTTTCATAATAATGTCCCAGACGACTTTATTCCTTCAAGGGCTGTAGAAGATTCCTTTCAGCAACCAAATAATAATGCTTCAGAGACGACTTCATGTCCCAGCTTTATTCCTTCAAGGCTGTAGAAGATTCCTTTCAGCAACCAAATAATAATGCTTTCAGGTAATATTCCTTTCAACACGTCTTCATGTCCCAATTCCTTCAAGGCTGTAGAAGATTCCTTTCAGCAACAAATGGTAATGTCCCCCCTTTATTCCTTCAAGGCTGTAGAAGATTCCTTTCAGCAACCAAATAATAATGCTTCAGAGACGACTTCATGTCCCAGCTTTATTCCTTCAAGGCTGTAGAAGATTCCTTTCAGCAACAAATAATAATGCTTCAGAGACGACTTCATGTTCCAGCTTTATTCCTTCAAGGCTGTGAAGATTCCTTTCAGCAACCAAATAATAATGCTTCAGAGACGACTTCATGTCCCAGCTTTATTCCTTCAAGGCTGTAGAAGATTCCTTTCAGCAACCAAATGGTAATGCTTCAGAGACGACTTCATGTCCCAGCTTTATTCCTTCAAGGCTGTAGAAGATTCCTTTCAACAACCAAATAATAATGCTTCAGAGACGACTTCATGTCCCAGCTTTATTCACTTCAAGGCTGTAGAAGATTCCTTTCAGCAACAAATAATAATGCTTCAGAGACGACTTCATGTCCCAGCTTTATTCCTTCAAGGCTGTAGAAGATTCCTTTCAGCAACCAAATAATAATGCTTCAGAGACGACTTCATGTCCCAGCTTTATTCCTTCAAGGCTGTAGAAGATTCCTTTCAGCAACAAATAATAATGCTTCAGAGACGACTTCATGTCCCAGCTTTATTCCTTCAAAGCTGTAGAAGATTCCTTTCAGCAACCAAATGGTAATGCTTCAGAGACGACTTCATGTCCCAGCTTTATTCCTTCAAGGCTGTAGAAGATTCCTTTCAGCAACCAAATAATAATGCTTCAGAGACGACTTCATGTCCCAGCTTTATTCCTTCAAGGCTGTAGAAGATTCCTTTCAGCAACCAAATAATAATGCTTCAGAGACGACTTCATGTCCCAGCTTTATTCCTTCAAGGCTGTAGAAGATTCCTTTCAGCAACCAAATAATAATGCTTCAGAGACGACTTCATGTCCCAGCTTTATTCCTTCAAGGCTGTAGAAGATTCCTTTCAGCAACCAAATGGTAATGCTTCAGAGACGACTTCATGTCCCAGACTTTATTCCTTCAAGGCTGTAGAAGATTCCTTTCAGCAACCAAATGGTAATGCTTCAGAGACGACTTCATGTCCCAGCTTTATTCCTTCAAGGCTGTGAAAGATTCCTTTCAGCAACCAAATGAATGCTTCAGAGACGACTTCATGTCCCAGCTTTATTCCTTCAAGGCTGTGAAGATTCCTTTCAAACCAAATAATAATGCTTCAGAGACGACTTCATGTCCCAGCTTTATTCCTTCAAGGCTGTAGAAGATTCCTTTCAGCAACCAAATGGTAATGCTTCAGAGACGACTTCATGTCCCAGCTTTATTCCTTCAAGGCTGTAGAAGATTCCTTTCAGCAACCAAATAATAATGCTTCAGAGACGACTTCATGTCCCAGCTTTATTCCTTCAAGGCTGTAGAAGATTCCTTTCAGCAACCAAATAATAATGCTTCAGAGACGACTTCATGTCCCAGCTTTATTCCTTCAAAGACTTCTGTAGAAAGAAGATTCCTTTCAGCAACCAAATAATAATGCTTCAGAGACGACTTCATGTCCCAGCTTTATTCCTTCAAGGCTGTAGAAAGATTCCTTTCAGCAACAAATAATAATGCTTCAGACGACTTCATCCCAGCTTTATTCCTTCAAGGCTGTAGAAGATTCCTTTCAGCAACCAAATAATAATGCTTCAGAGACGACCCAGCTTTGTTCATGGCTCCCAGCAACCAAATTTATTCATGTCTTTATTCCTTCAAGGCTGTAGAAGATTCCTTTCAACAACCAAATAATAATGCTTCAGAACGACTTCATGTCCCAGCTTTATTCCTTCAAGGCTGTAGAAGATTCCTTTCAGCAACCAAATAATAATGCTTCAGAGACGACTTCATGTCCCAGCTTTATTCCTTCAAGGCTGTAGAAGATTCCTTTCAGCAACCAAATAATAATGCTTCAGAGACGACTTCATGTCCCAGCTTTATTCCTTCAAGGCTGTAGAAGATTCCTTTCAGCAACCAAATAATAATGCTTCAGAGACGACTTCATGTCCCAGCTGTATTTCCTTCCAAATTCATGTCCCAAAATTCCTTTCAGCAACCAAATGTAATGAAGATTCCTTTCAGCAACCAAATGGTAATGCTTCAGAGACGACTTCATGTCCCAGCTTTATTCCTTCAAGGCTGTGAAAATTCCTTTCAGCAACCAAATAATAATGCTTCAGAGACGACTTCATGTTCCAGCTTTATTCCTTCAAGGCTGTCCCTTTCAGCAACCAAATGAAGTATTCCTTTATTCCTTCAAGGCTGTAGAAGATTCCTTTCAGCAACCAAATAATAAATGCTTCAGAGACGACTTCATGTCCCAGCTTTATTCCTTCAAGGCTGTAGAAGATTCCTTTCAGCAACCAAATGGTAATGCTTCAGAGACGACTTCATGTCCCAGCTTTATTCCTTCAAGGCTGTAGAAGATTCCTTTCCTTCAAGCAACAAATAAATGCTTCAGAGACGACTTCATGTCCCAGCTTTATTCCTTCAAGGCTGTAGAAGATTCCTTTCAGCAACCAAATGGTAATGCTTCAGAGACGACTTCATGTCCCAGCTTTATTCCTTCAAGGCTGTAGAAGATTCCTTTCAGCAACCAAATAATAATGCTTCAGAGACGACTTCATGTCCCCAGCTTTATTCCTTCAAGGCTGTAGAAGATTCCTTTCAGCAACAAATGAATGCTTCAGAGACGACTTCATGTCCCAGCTTTATTCCTTCAAGGCTGTAGAAGATTCCTTTCAGCAACCAAATAATAATGCTTCAGAGACGACTTCATGTTCCAGCTTTATTCCTTCAAGGCTGTAGAAGATTCCTTTCAGCAACCAAATGGTAATGCTTCAAACGACTTCATGTCCCAGCTTTATTCCTTCAAGGCTGTAGAAGATTCCTTTCAGCAACAAATAATAATGCTTCAGAGACGACTTCATGTCCCAGCTTTATTCCTTCAAGGCTGTAGAAGATTCCTTTCAGCAACCAAATGGTAATGCTTCAGAGACGACTTCATGTCCCAGCTTTATTCCTTCAAGGCTGTAGAAGATTCCTTTCAGCAACCAAATAATAATGCTTCAGAGACGACTTCATGTCCCAGCTTTATTCCTTCAAGGCTGTAGAAGATTCCTTTCAGCAACCAAATAATAATGCTTCAGAGACGACTTCATGTCCCAGCTTTATTCCTTCAAGGCTGTAGAAGATTCCTTTCAGCAACCAAATAATAATGCTTCAGAGACGACTTCCTTCATGTCCTTTCAACAACTTTATTCCTTCAAGGCTGTAGAAGATTCCTTTCAGCAACCAAATGGTAATGCTTCAGAGACGACTTCATGTCCCAGCTTTTATTCCTTCAAGGCTGTAGAAGATTCCTTTCAGCAACAAATGGTAATGCTTCAGAGACGACTTCATGTCCCAACTTTATTCCTTCAAGGCTGTTCAGGCTGTAAAGATTCCTTTCAGCAACCAAATAATAATGCTTCAGAGACGACTTCATGTTCCTTCAAGGCTTTATTCTTCAAGACGGTCCCAGCTGTAGAAGATTCCTTTCAGCAACCAAATAATAATGCTTCAGAGACGACTTCATGTCCCAGCTTTATTCCTTCAAGGCTGTTTCCTTTCAGCAACCAAATGGTAATGCCTTCAAGGGCTGTAGAAGATTCCTTTCAGCAACCAAATAATAATGCTTCAGAGACGACTTCATGTCCTTCAGCTTTAGCAACCAAATTCTTCAGAGACGACTTCAAGGTTGTAGAAGATTCCTTTCAGCAACCAAATAATAATGCTTCAGAGACGACTTCATGTTCCAGCTTTATTCCTTCAAGGCTGTAGAAGATTCCTTTCAGCAACCAAATAATAATGCTTCAGAGACGACTTCATGTCCCAGCTTTATTCCTTCAAGGCTGTAGAAGATTCCTTTCAGCAACCAAATGGTAATGCTTCAGAGACGACTTCATGTCCCAGCTTTATTCCTTCAAGGCTGTAGAAGATTCCTTTCAGCAACCAAATAATAATGCTTCAGAGACGACTTCATGTTCCAGCTTTATTCCTTCAAGGCTGTAGAAGATTCCTTTCAGCAACCAAATGGTAATGCTTCAGAGACGACTTCATGTCCCAGCTTTATTCCTTCAAGGCTGTAGAAGATTCCTTTCAGCAACCAAATAATAATGCTTCAGAGACGACTTCATGTCCCAGCTTTATTCCTTCAAGGCTGTAGAAGATTCCTTTCAGCAACCAAATGGTAATGCTTCAGAGACGACTTCATGTCCCAGCTTTATTCCTTCAAGGCTGTAGAAGATTCCTTTCAGCAACCAAATAATAATGCTTCAGAGACGACTTCATGTTCCAGCTTTATTCCTTCAAGGCTGTGAAGATTCCTTTCAGCAACCAAATGGTAATGCTTCAGAGACGACTTCATGTCCCAGCTTTATTCCTTCAAGGCTGTAGAAGATTCCTTTCAGCAACCAAATGGTAATGCTTCAGAGACGACTTCATGTCCCAGCTTTATTCCTTCAAGGCTGTAGAAGATTCCTTTCAGCAACCAAATAATAATGCTTCAGAGACGACTTCATGTCCCAGCTTTATTCCTTCAAGGCTGTAGAAGATTCTTTCAGCAACCAAATAATAATGCTTCAGAGACGACTTCATGTTCCAGATTCCTTCAAGGCTGTAGACTTTCAGCAACAAATAATAATACTTCAGAGACGACTTCATGTCCCAGCTTTATTCCTTCAAGGCTGTAGAAGATTCCTTTCAGCAACCAAATGGTAATGCTTCAGAGACGACTTCATGTCCCAGCTTTATTCCTTCAAGGCTGTAGAAGATTCCTTTCAGCAACCAAATGGTAATGCTTCAGAGACGACTTCATGTCCCAGCTTTATTCCTTCAAGGCTGTAGAAGATTCCTTTCAGCAACCAAATAATAATGCTTCAGAGACGACTTCATGTTCCAGCTTTATTCCTTCAAGGCTGTAGAAGATTCCTTTCAGCAACCAAATGTAATGCTTCAGAGACGACTTCATGTCCCAGCTTTATTCCTTCAAGGCTGTAGAAGATTCCTTTCAGCAACAAATAATAATGCTTCAGAGACGACTTCATGTTCCAGCTTTATTCCTTCAAGGCTGTAGAAGATTCCTTTCAGCAACCAAATGGTAATGCTTCAGAGACGACTTCATGTCCCAGCTTTATTCCTTCAAGGCTGTGGTAATGCTTCAGAGACGACTTCATGTCCCAGCTTTATTCCTTCAAGGCTGTAGAAGATTCCAAATAATAATGCTTCAGAGACGACTTCATGTCCCAGCTTTATTCCTTCAAGGCTGTAGAAGATTCCTTTCAGCAACCAAATAATAATGCTTCAGAGACGACTTCATGTCCCAGCTTTATTCCTTCAAGGCTGTGAAAGATTCCTTTCAGCAAATAAATGGTAATGCTTCAGAGACGACTTCATCATGTCCCAGCTTTATTCCTTCAAGGCTGTAGAAGATTCCTTTCAGCAACCAAATAATAATGCTTCAGAGACGACTTCATGTCCCAGCTTTATTCCTTCAAGGCTGTAGAAGATTCCTTTCAGCAACAAATAATAATGCTTCAGAACGACTTCATGTTCCAGCTTTATTCCTTCAAGGCTGTAGAAGATTCCTTTCAGCAACCAAATAATAATGCTTCAGAGACTTCATGTCCCAGCTTTATTCCTTCAAGGCTGTAGAAGATTCCTTTCAGCAACCAAATGGTAATGCTTCAGAGACGACTTCATGTCCCAGCTTTATTCCTTCAAGGCTGTAAAGATTCCTTTCAGCAACCAAATGGTAATGCTTCAGAGACGACTTCATGTCCCAGCTTTATTCCTTCAAGGCTTTAGAAGATTCCTTTCAGCAACCAAATAATAATGCTTCAGAGACGACTTCATGTCCAGCTTTATTCCTTCAAGGCTGTTTCCTTTCAGCAACCAAATTCAGGTTCATGTCCCATTTATTCCTTCAAGCTTCAGAGACGACTTCATGTCCCAGCTTTATTCCTTCAAGGCTGTAGAAGATTCCTTTTCAGCAACCAAATAATAATGCTTCAGAGACGACTTCATGTCCCAGCTTTATTCCTTCAAGGCTGTAGAAGATTCTTTCATGTTCAGAGACGACTTCATGTCCCAGCTTTATTCCTTCAAGGCTGTAGAAGATTCCTTTCAGCAACCAAATGGTAATGCTTCAGAGACGACTTCATGTCCCAGCTTTATTCCTTCAAGGCTGTAGAAGATTCCTTTCAGCAACCAAATAATAATGCTTCAGAGACGACTTCATGTCCCAGCCTTTATTCCTTTCAGCAACCAAATGGTGTAGAACGACTTCATGATTCCTTTCAGAAGATTCAACCAAATGGTAATGCTTCAGAGACGACTTCATGTCCCAGCTTTATTCCTTCAAGGCTGTAGAAGATTCCTTTCAGCAACAAATGGTAATGCTTCAGAGACGACTTCATGTCCCTTTATTCCTTTGTGATTCCTTTCAAGGCTGTTCAGAACGACTTCATGTCCCAGCTTTCAAGCAACAAGTGGTAATGCTTCAGAGACGACTTCATGTCCCAGCTTTATTCCTTCAAGGCTGTAGAATTCCTTTCAGCAACCAAATAATAATGCTTCAGACGACTTCATGTCCCAGCTTTATTCCTTCAAGGCTGTAGAATTCCTTTCAGCAACCAAATGGTAATGCTTCAGACGACTTCATGTCCCAGCTTTATTCCTTCAGGCTGTAGAAGATTCCTTTCAGCAACCAAATGGTAATGCTTCAAGACGACTTCATGTCCCAGATTTATTCCTTCAAGGCTAAGATTCTTTCAGCAACGAAATAATAATGCTTCAGCTACGACTTCATGTCCCACTTTATTCCTTCAAGGCTTTTCCTTTCACCCAAATGGTAATGCTTCAGAGACGACTTCATGTCCCAGCTTTATTCCTTCAAGGCTGTTATTCAGCAACCAAATGGTAATGCTTCAGAGACGACTTCATGTCCCAGCTTTATTCCTTCAAGGCTGTAGAAGATTCCTTTCAGCAACCAAATAATAATGCTTCAGACGACTTCATGTCAGCTTTATTCCTTCAAGGCTGTAGAAGGGCAAAAATGGTAATGCTTCAGAACGACTTCATGTCCCAGCTTTATTCCTTCAAGGCTGTAGAAGATTCCTTTCAGCAACCAAATAATAATGCTTCAGAGACGACTTCATGTCCCAGTTTATTCCTTCAAGGTGTAAAGCCTTTCAGCAACCAAATGAATTCCTTTCAGCAACAAATAATAATGCTTCAGAGACGACTGTCAGCTTTATTCCTTCAAGGCTGTGTCTTTCAGCAACCAAATGGTAATGCTTCAGAGACGACTTCATGTCCCAGCTTTATTCCTTCAAGGCTGTAGAAGATTCCTTTCAGCAACCAAATAAAATGCTTCTCGACTTCATGTCCCAGCGAAGGCTGTTTCCTTTCAACAGTTAATGGTGAAGAGGATGTTTCACGAAGAATGTCACAAACTCCTTCAAGGCTGTGAAGTTCCTTTCAAACCAAATGGTTGCTCCAGAGACGACTTCATGTCCCAGCCCTTTCAAGGCTGTAGAAGATTCCTTTCAGCAACAGCTAACACTAATTCATTGAAGAACTATGTCCCTGCTTTATTCCCAAGGGTGGATTCCTTTCAAACCAAATTTAATGCTTCAAGATACAAAATTTGTTTTCAAACAAAGACCTTGTTGAATTCAATTATTCCTTCCAAAGCTGCAAACAAATTCTCATGCTTCAGAGACGACTTCATGTTGCAGTGAAAGGGATGTGAAAGATTCCTTTTAAAACAAATGGTAATGCTTCAGCTACGACTTCATGTCCCAGACTTTATTCCTTCAAGAAAACAAACCAAATAATTATGCTGAGACAAATATATTGTATTTTATTCAAGGTACAAGTGAAATTGATGCGTGGTGAATATTATTTAACGTGTATTGTGGTGATGTGTACCGGGTTCGTACCTACGTGCATTGTCCTAATTCATGTTCCCAGAATTTTTTGGGAAACCTTGCTGTATCTATGAGAGCTCACATATGCCTGAGGTGGTATAACTTTAAGCCCAAACAAGGCCTGAGGACAAAAAAGAGATCGAGGCAAAGGGTCACACAGTATTTATAGCCAGAGGAGAAAGACCCCTGGTGAGGGATTAAGGAACTGAGGAGGAGCTAACTCCGACAACCCGAGAGAAGTAAGCTTTGGATGGATTTCTTTAATATACCTTATGCATTTGATAATGTATTTCGCTTATACAGCATATATAAAATGTGATTGCTCATATAAAAGTCTATTTGTTTCTCAATCACTTAGTCAACTTAGAAAGAAATTAAAATATTTCTTTTAAAAGAAAAAATTATTTGATAACGACGGAAATAGATATAAATATAGATAAATGTAAATCGTAATTTCATTCATTTTATAGTGAAACATAAATCGCAATATTTTATGTGAAAGAGAAATACCAACATTAGGCTCAGAATAAATTAAAGGAAAGCCATGGACATTTTTTGTGGGGAGGGGGTTCTACTTCATTATACTGAATTTTCATTGAAATTATTTGCAGTCAATTTTTCAAAACTATATCCCTTCAGGATGTAGGCGATAATGGCTCTCCCTAATGACCTTCCGACCATGCTGCAAGAACATGATGGTTAGCCTGATATACTCATGAGTGGCCGAGCTAATTCGACCGAAGAAATATATGCAAATTGTGAATTGCAATTACTGTTCTTGTGTGTGGAGTCGCCGTTCCATCAACGCGGTTTGTGAATTCAGTGCTGTATTTTCAGACTGATTACCTT